CAGTTTTTCGTTCCCGATCTTCTCGTTTCTTGGCGAGTTTTGAATCAGGAAGTGGTTTAAAGACGTAATCACATCGAGAACAGGAATTATTTCCACGATTTAATATCTGAATAAATCTATAAATAGAACAAAAATATTCAAATAAAGCTTGAAATACACGAAAATGGATTTTTGGAGGTATTTAGACGTTCAATGGACATACTATTTCCCAAAGATCCTGTTTATCAGCTTATCCATGGACAATGTTTTCGGTACCGATTTACACGGAAAACAACTGGTTCTAAAAATCCTGTACTCAGCTGGTTTTCTAAACAATGACCAGCTTTGGATTATTTTCAGAATTGATCAACACACAGAGAATTAATCTAATCATTTAGTACTTACATTGCATGGCTACTCTTGTGGAACTCTTTATTACAAGGAGTAGGATCTGGTCCAGGACTCGGAGGCCGACTGTCTGTATCGCTCTCATCGTCATCTGGTTCGATCATCAACGGAGTCTCCGCCGTCGTCTCCTTATTCACATTACCATGGTTACCAGGATCTTTGTGCTCTGGTAGACTTGGTCGTTGAGTATATAGACTTGATTGAACAGACATGTCTTGTGGTAGTAACTGATGAGGAGGTAACGCTGACATGGTTGTCGGGGCAACATGATGTATAGGTTTACTGGGAATATCGCCCTCTTTACGTTCCTTGTCTGGTATCGTTAGTGGCATCGGCATCCCTGGGTTTGAAACAGGATGATGTGAGTAAGGGAGACTACTGAATGAGCTGTCGCGATGTGAAGGATTTGGAAATCGCGAGACTTCCGAGTCTTTTTTATGGTCACTCCATGGTGTGTGCATACGTGGAGATAATGGTTCTTTCTTTATCGGGATGAGTCCCGGCATTGGGGGAGGTCCCCCGCTTCCACTCAGTCCATGATGGGAAGAATGATGTTGATACATGGCAGCACATTTCTGTAACAAAGCGGTGTCTGGTTTTTTATCCTCCATCTCCTCCGGTTTGGATTGAATTGGTTGCTGAGGATGCGGTTGAACCGCTGCTGTCGATGACGGTTGCTTAGGAACCTGTGGTTGAGTATTTTCAGGTTGTATATGTGGATGATGAAAAGGACTATGTTGTGATGGCGTAGGTACAGGAAGTTGTTGGTAGTGATTTGGTTCTGGCATGTGGACTGGTTTTGGCGGAAGAGTTTGTGATGAAGGAGAGGTGACAGGATGCTGGGGTTCTGGTTTCACCAGGTCTTTCAAGGGCTGGTAGTCCACCTCTGAGGGAGTCGGGGTTGTAGGTGGGGTGCTGGAACTCAGCTCATCCTGAAAATACATACAAATTATCTTTTAACATGGATTACACAGAACTTCCATTGATTGTAAATTTTAAAACATGGGGACGCTTTCAGCTTCAGCTATTTACAATTCACTGCTTTGCATGCTTTCTGGAGACAGATTTACATAAGCATGTTCTTGTTTCTGACATGTTATATTATATATTATTACTGATATTATAGAAAATAAATACTGTTAAAATCATTGCTTCACATTCCTAGAGTTGATTCAGCGTACTCATTACTAATAATATTTGGGAATTGTGATACTAGTGAAATCTGAACTTCATTCATTTTACACAACATTATAATCATATAGTATTTTATTTCTACTGAGAATGATTCTTCTAGCCTTACCTCATCAACTTAAATCTCAAATTCATTAAAACTGCTTTCAAAAACCAACAGAATGCAGGGTTGAATTTGAAGTGGAAACAAATTATATGAGAGTAAACTAAATGAAATGAATGGAGTTTTACATCCTACTTTTCTGCACCTTGTGGACTAATAAAGATGGGAGAGTAAACTAGTTAGAGTTACCTGATTATTGTCATCATCATCATCCTGTCCTGTTTCATCATTTCCAGAAATACTGCTGGCATCCGACACGGAATCAATGTCCGATGGATCCTGTAATATTTGGAATAAAATATAAATTCATGGGTAAGGCAAGAGTTGTGTTTTTAAGTCCTATTTTTTTCTGTTCATATAGAAATCAATCAAACAACGTGAACACCCAGTTGGTTTTTTTTCTCAAATAGTCTTCAGCTGGGTCACTGAGACTGACGACTCATGACAATAAAAACCTAACTATCTTATTGAGATGAGATGAAGGTAATCTCAAACATTTCATATTATATTACTTTCATGATACGAAAGAAAGTTGAAACGTAAAGCAATTTTCTTACCTGTGATTTTTTCTTCTTAGCTTTAATTTCACCTTCACCTATATTCTGTCTCTTCCGATTCTTATCACCTTCTTCCTTCTAGAATATAAACACAGTTTTCTATAAGATTCTAAGAATAAAAGATTTTTTTTATCAAACAGACGTTGGTATAGTTGAATGAAGATATTAGTCGACATATAGGTAATAAAGTGTTGGCTCTTACACTTCATTTGTATTTTTGAAAATATGCATATAAGCTTAACATCCCATAAAATCAAAATATCGTCAGCTTTCTACGACAATTGTCTAACCATAGTATGAGTAATAACCTGAGGTAAAAATAATAAAATTTTCAAAATATTGAGCTAGGCAATTATTATAGCAGGCTGTAGATATAAACAATCCATCCCATAATATTACATTGTAAACTAAATATAACCTTATCATATAGTATTATATCTTTATCATTATGTCATCTCATATTATTTATATATACTAACAATACATCCCATAATATCAAATCATAAATCATCAATAAACATATCATAAGTATAATATCTAGAATATCATTCTATCCAATAATATCAAATTATATATTAAATATCAACATATAAGTAGGGAGTCTAGTATTATAGCTATCCCATAATATTAAATCATAATGATATATAAACTATAAACATATGATATCTAGAATATCAACAAGTCAGGGCTATAAAACAGTCTGATAAAATATAATATTTGATAAAAAACTGTAGTTTTAATAGAGTTTAATCTCTTTCAAGCCTTTTATTATCTTTTACATACATTAGGCCTCATAAACCATAGACATAATTTATTTTTGAAGTACACAAGAGTCTTTGAAACACTTGAGTAGATCCTATTAAATATTACACTTCAAATAGAACTCTAAGGTATGTAATCATCTAATTTTAGACGAGGCAGAAATGTGTTTCTTGTTGTGATTAAACCTTTCTCCCTTCGTTCAACAATTCATCGGTTTTTGTTTATAATCGTATGACAGATGTGTAATCCACCCATTTTCGGTTGCAAGTAATTGATAAGTCATTGATAAAGTATGGATTTAGATTTCAGCTAATTTTCATAAATTTGTTTATTTTTCTGAGACAATCCGAATAAATGTATGATTTTTTTTATATCTTACTTTACTACACCTAATTAGGCTAATCAAGACTGCGAAAAAATCCAAAGAAGTTAATTTCCAATTCTCTTAGATTCAAAATTTAGTTGACAACATCACTTTGATATCAAATACTTCAAAGACAACTTCAGAGAAATGTGAACAAAGAATTCTAAATAAATTTCAAATAAAATTCACAATATAGAAATATCAATTAATAATAAAATCTTGAGTAATTTGAATTATCAGAAGTTTCAAAGCCTGAAGGACAAAAAGTTAAACGAATAAATATATTAAATTTTCTGACAAAAAATGAGGTTTACTATACGTTTTTGTAATAACTTAACAGAATTTAAATTAATAGAGTGTATCTTCGTGTAACGCATGAAAATATCAAAAGATAAAATAAAATTTGTAAATTTTTTGTAATAACTTTAGAAATGAACGAAATTTAATAGGATGTTTAGAACTGAACATACTAGAATTAACGCTACGTAATTCTTCGAAACAAATACACTCAAGAAAAGACTAGCCTTCCGTGTAATTTTCAAACAGAATTTAAATTAACAGAATGTATCGTGTAACGCATGAAAATATCAAAACATAAACTAAAATTAATTAAATGAATGTTTTAACAGCTCCAGAACCGAACTTACCAGAATTAACGCAACTTACTTATTCTAAATAACTCTCAAAACAAATACATGTATATTAGAGCATCAAGATTCAAGAAAAGAAGTAATTTAAATTAAATCCGTGTAATTTTTAAATATGGATGCAAATGGATAATGTGGCTCAGATTTTGACTGTGAGCTGCGAACACTGTAACTGAATATAACTTAGCTAAAAAAAATTCCTGTTTCTGAGACTTGCACAAATGGTAAAATAGACCTTTAATGAACATTTTAAAAATAATTCATGGGTTATGATATTACAATATTCTAGAATTTAATGATGTTTTGGTAAACTATTGAAAAAATAAAAATTGTATTTAAAAAAAACTAAAACTAATTAAAATAATATTTGATATTGATCTATATTTGTTTAAAGATTTTTGAGTCAAACTGGAATATTGTGTATTAAAATATTTATAATGATAAAATAAATCAGGTTTTATTGTTTTAATAGAAAATAAATAATAAAACCATTATAATTATCACGATTTTAATCACGATTTTAATATTGTGTTTGTTAAAATAAATCTGTATAGTCGTTCTAATTGATCAATCCAGAAATAAATTATTTTAACTCTAGGGCAAGTTAAAGCTACCATGTTTATAGTAATTCAAGGATGTTAACAGCAGCAGTTCTGTTTATTTTAAGATAATACAAGTAGTATTAAATTATAATATACATCTAGGATATCTATCTTGTTTAGTCTTAATCTTGTTTACCCTACACAAGGGGACTGTTTATGTTTGCGATGAAGATTTGAATTGCACCAATATTTTAGTTTTTACTACAATATGGAATACAACAGAGATAAGAATTAATATCAGAATAAACAGTTTTATATTTACTATATCTATATTGTAACTCTACCTTAGAGATTCTATTCTTTAGTCATAGTCCAACTGATGAATATATACTCTTATTGATCAAGTTTGAGACTTTAAATTTTATGAGGTAGTATCCTTTTAAATTTTATGTCTATTATAAGAGGTACCATCCTTTTAAATTTTATGTCTATTATAAGAGGTACCATCCTTTTAAATTTTATGTCTATTATAAGAGGTACCATCCTTTTAAATTTTATGTCTATTATAAGAGGTACCATCCTTTTAAATTTTATGTCTATTATAAGAGGTACCATCCTTTTAAATTTTATGTCTATTATAAGAGGTACCATCCTTTTAAATTTTATGTCTATTATAAGAAGCAGTATCTCTGTATGAGATGATTAAATAAATGTTGAAAAGGGCCAAGAAAATCATGTAATTTTTTTATGACAATGCTGACCTTATCCAGAGTGCTATCTTTGCTGTCTTTATCAGTACTACTGTTACTACAGGTACTGGCCACGCTGGGTGATTTACGTTCCCCTAGTTTCATCGGATTGCCGTTACTGCCGTTCATTAGACTGTCCAGATTATCAGGACTGTTTCTATCTTTTTTATTTGTATTATTACCATTCTGAAATATAGAGGTATGGGAAATAAACTTCCTGGACATAATTAAACTAAACATTATTAATCAGAACTTTGAAATGAATAGTCCTTGCTTCAGACCTTGGCCAGTGCTTTCTATGAGTTAAATTCTCATTTCACCTTAACTATATCAACAGTTTAATAAATAATAAATAATATTCCGAAGGACTCTCTGAAAGGGATGATCAATTAAACAATAAACAAATCAAAATAAACAATATTAGTATCAGGGCTCTTTGATAGGAATGATTGAGTCAACAAACTAAATCAGATCTCCGGTAGTTCATGACAACATACATTCATATAGATGAACTCAGGGTGAACAAGAAAGAGCAAACCAAAAAAATGCAAGTGCATACTGAATTACCCCAAATCAGCCCTTTTAAGATACATACCGTCGTAGAATTATTTCTGCGTGTTCGCATATTCTTCTCTTCCTCCTCCTCTTCCTCTTCTTTTACTGGTTTGAAGAGGAAAGAATTAGGACCCACAGCGGGGCTATCCAGGGGGCGCTCTTCACCATGTTTCTTAAAGAATAGTCGACACTCCGTGCATAATAAACTTTTATCTTTTCCAGCATGGTGCCAATCTTTGGAAGCTGAAAAAATGGAAAAAACTTGTCAGAAAATCAAAATAAGAAGTTTTCAAGTGAATATTTAATTAAAGCTAGTTATTCTTCTTGGTACATGGCATAAAACATAAAACATAAAACATAAAGAGGGAAGATTAAGTAAACAAATTTGTAAAATTCTATTTTATTTACCTACTTGTATTGTTTATTTATTTCATTATCTAGTTTTTCTAATTATTTTATAATAAATATAACTAGATCAGAAAACATCTTCCTATCTCTTTTAATAGTGTGAGACATTTTTCTTATTTAAGAAATACTTTCTTCGTTCAAAGTTTCGTCAACTAAAATTGAAATTAGTGTTTTACACTCGTTAATAAATTATACTTACTTGTAGTAGAACAATGCCGACAGAAATAATTGTTGGTGTTTCTGTTGATAGGGAAATTACTGAGGTCACGACCTCCACCGCTGCCCTCTACACTATAGTCGGAGTCATTATCCGAACATTCACTAGCGGAACTCAGATCAGCTGAAACAATAGAAAATATACAAATAATGAATAGAATAAATTACAGGGGAGACCATCCACTACTATCTACACTATAGTCGCAGTCATTTTTAAGGGATACCAACATACATATTGGACTGGAATTGATGGAGGGACCCCACATGAAACTATGTATAGTTTTAACATGGAAATAACACATAGTTTACAACCATTTTGAATTTCTTCCTCAACTTTATAAGTTCAATATTTTAAAAGGCATAATATTTCAACTAAATCATATTGTGAACTATATTTATTCGTATTTGTTATTTCCATGTAAAAATAATTCTTAGTTTCTTGGACAAATATATTCAATATAAATCGATAAATAATCAAACTCTGTCGAAGGCCCAAAAGCATTGGAAATATTATATTATCAAATATCTTTGAAGTCAAACAAGGCAAGAGATGAGAGCAAGAATATCATCATTCAAATCACCTCCAATGACTTGAATTTAGTTTCCACTTATCAACACTTTAACGCTAAAGTAAATAAACATGTTGAAAGAAACCTCTTTATACAAATAGTAATGGGTGCTCTAAAGTCAGGGCAGAACAAGTTTTATTAGAAGATGCTAACATATTATTGGTATTTAAGTATTCATTAACAACCCTTGAACCCTGACCCTAATGATAACCTTTCACCTACGACCTCTAGATGTCTATATACAAAATATAAAGATATACTTTCTGTTTTGATTGATTTAAGAGAGAATTTACAAAATAATTACAGACATTCCTCTGTTTATCCTATTTCATCTGAATCTTCCCTAGATATACACTGATCTACAATTACATGACCATCTGTAACGATACTTTTTCATATCTGCTTCTTGGAACACAGTGACAAAATTTCAATTAGTGAATTAAAAGTCAATGAGCGAGTCTATCCTGTTAGAAAATCTGTTTGAGTATTCCAGGATGTCAAAGTCTTTGTATGTATATTTATTTGTGAATAAAAATTTTTCATGATAAAAAAAGAAAGTCGCAATAATCAATTTATGACGTTCATTTATCTGAACATGACACCAGAAGACTTCCGTTCTGATTGGGTTATGCAGGTGGCAAAGGCCACAGAGTGTGTAATGAGGGAAATTTTGACTTTATTGATGTTCCAACTATCAACGAATCTTTGATTTGGATGAAAGAGAAACAGAATGACAAATCTGACTTGCACCACTTCAAAACACATGAGCTTTTTGAAAAACAGAAAAGAAAATCCAGGTTTAAATGAAACGAAACTCAAAGGAGAAAGTTAAAACCTGCAAATTGATAAAAACTGGGAGGAATTGAGACTTTTTTCATTGCAATGAAACTCTGCAACACACCGTTTGATGTTTCTACGGCCTGTTTTATGTCTTGTTTCACTGCAGACGCAAAATTGATGACTTTAACAAGAAATTTAACTTCGTTTTGAAGAGTTCCACACAGAATTATTTAGGAATTCATTGTTTCTGTTTTTTAGAGGAATGCATTTACCTACGTCAGATTTCACTCAGTTTTCAAAAACCAGACTAATTTTAATTCCTCACTTGAGATGAAAACAGTTTAACATCTTACTGTTTAGAATTTTAGAACTTGTATGTACCAATTTAAAACAACAGCAATATTTGACATGCTGCTTTATATTGTTGCTCTCTATACAGTATGCAATGAGGTGAAAAGATACACAGAACCATACTTCCTATCAGTCCTCTTGTCAATCCTAATTCCTCATTTGAGATGAAAACAGTTTAACATCTGACTGTTGTAGTTTTTTGGAGAATCAGAACAGTACCACAAATTGAAAACACTGGAAATATTTTTACATGCCGCTCTTCAACATTCATGAAAATTATGAAAAACACAAATAAAAATCCAAGTAGGAAACAAACAAATCTTCAAGATGATAAAATCTAGCAGTTTTTGGGATTGGTGTACTGTACCGAATGACTCGACTGATCATGAAACATTACTCAGCTGTCCAAGACAATGATACTGGACTTCCGTCTGCTCGACACTGCCACATCATAATTTGTCATCGACACGTTCATTGAATAAATATCTTAGAAATATCACATTTTTCATTTTTATACAGTACACTATTCAATCTATATTTTATCACCATGTCAATCAAAATATAGAAATATTGATAATGATTGAGACATACTTTATCCTCTAGATCCATCTCAATCCATTATTTTATATCCATAATCCTTCTTAACTTAATTCACTGTTATAAAAACCCACATGGACATTATCATGATAGTAATTTTACAAAATACCCCCAAGAAAATCTATATTTTGCCACCATGTGCATGAAAAATGTGTGATTAAATTGTAACGCATGAATACTACTAGTCTCTGAGGACGTATCAAATTTAGTTTTAAAAGAAACAAAAATCTCTTTTGAGTCGAATTCAAACACCAGTCAAATGAAAATATATCTCATGATTTCAGAGTTTTCTGCTTGAAATCAGGTTTCAAAGAAACTTAAAACAGATGATAAATTCAGAATAGAACTTTGAAGAATTTTCAACATGTTTTATTGGAGTAAACCTAACTATCAAAGTATGAAAGATCTAGAGTATGGTTCTTGAAAATCTTGGAAATCAACCAATCATATTACTGTTTATCTGAGAAACCGGCAGACGCCCCCCTACTTGGAACCCTTGCCCCCTTGCTTGCCCTCCCAAATGAAATCAATCGGTGTCCGAGCGGCACTTGGATTGTCTTAGGAATCCCACCCCCCTATTTCAATCACTCCCTCAAGTCTAGCTACACCACTGATCTTTCAAATTCTCTTAATTGTAATGAAACTCTATGGACCATGACTTCTGAAAGGACTGTTTAGTATTACTGTTGAGACGAGTCTCAATGAAAGCACTGGCCTAGGTCACAGAGCAATATGTTTAGTATTTAAAGATCTAAGATGCAGTCAGTGAAAACTGGTTGAAGGGTTGTAAAGAATTGATTATAAACAATGATTATATACAGGGTGAATCTACCGACCGTCACGACGGTGATAAAACTAAACTAATTCTCGCATGAACTCAGTCACCCTCTCGTCCACTCTTACACTAACATACCAGTACGCTACCTGTCCAGATCCATGTTAACAGCAGTATGACTACCTGGTTGCTAGTAGAGACTAGACTTACACCATTCAGGGCGAAAGTTTTTGGGACCCATAAGTCACCTACTGTCTTCAGGATCAAGGTTTGGGGATTTTCGAGACTTGAGTACAAGATAAAGTCTCCATCATTATACAGGGCCTATCACTGTTAGGACCCAAGTTAGACTTATTACAGCAATTAACTCCTTACAAGCACAATGTTTTGTTTTCTGTTCTATATCTATCAAAAACATCGTAATTAATTCAACAGCAATCACTTTAAACTAAGTTACGACACAATGATCAGGAAATTATATTGAAAAGTTTTTTTAATAATTTATAATTATTCCTTTGAAGTATAAATATCAACATAATAACATTAAAACCATCCCTGAATCAAACTCATTAGTTGGTATAACATGAAATGAATGGAGTTACTACTTATATTGGTTGGTATGACGATACAATCTTTGCCAAATTTATGGTACTAGGGTCATCATCA